AGTTTGAACTGCAAGGTCAGTGCTTCAAACTCACCAGCCACTCCTTGAAAATCCTATACAGGGTCGCTATGAGTCAGAACCGACTCAATGGCACTTAACAAAAAAACATGACTGATTTATGACATTTAAACATTTAAAAAAATGTTTAAAATCTAAGTCTCATCTAGACTTTCTAAGAACTACAAAGAATAGAGAAATCAGGAATTACATAATGAGGAAATTAACTAGACAAATCAATAATATGGGACATTCTCCAAGACCACTAATGTGGACTCTTCAAAAAAAACCACTATAATAAAAAAGTGGAGTTTTTTGGAACAAGACATTTAAGACAACCAAGTGCAAGGTACGCTCCTTAATTGACTTAAGGAAAAAAAAAAAAAGTGGTGGTGGACTATGAAGATGAAATGAATACCGTGATGAAATGTTTAATTTACTAGAAGTGATAGTGATTGAGGTTATGTAGGAGAAAGTCTTTATTGTGTGATGCATGCAGTTTTTAAGTTTGTAAACTCATGATGTCTGCAACATTTTCAAATAAATATGTAAAAGATTATTGCATTGTTGAATCTTTGTGGATAATGTAGAGATGCTCTTTGGTCATTGTTAAACTTTTCTGTATGTTTAAAAGTTTTAATAAAATTTGAGGCAAAAACTTATTAAATGTACACCAGCATTCATTGCATTATTCACAATAGCTAAAAGTATCCACCAACAAATGAATGGATAATAAGATGTGGTACATATATACAGTGGAATATTATTTCACCATAAAGAAAAATGAAGTTGTGATATATGCTACATGGGTAAGGCCTTGAAAACATTATGCTGAGTGAAATAAGTCAGACACAAAAATAAAAATATTGTATGACCCCACTTTTATTAAATATTTAGACTAGGCAGTAGCATAGAGACAAATATTTAGTGGAGGTTGGATGGAAGGGAGGAATGGAGAATTATTGCTTATGTTACTGAGTCTCTGGGATGATGAAAAACTTTTGTAAATAGTGGTATGGTTGCATTCACATGATGAATGCAATATCACTAAATTGTACTTTAAAATAAAGTGGCAAATTTTTGTTGTATTTTTTACATTTTTCTTTCCAGAAAAGTAATACGAAGCTTCCAGTCAGAAGTCTCCTTTTAAACTCTCAAAAATTCCTATTTGAGAGTTCATCCTCAAGGGATAGAATCATTGGAAATAATAGTAATTTTGTTTTGGTCCAGATCCTACTTAACATGGAATAATAAGCACAGTATACTTTATCTCTCCCACCAAATATGACTAAAAACCCTGGAGGTATGCCTGGATCAGCTGTCTGAGAACCCTGAAAATTAAAGGTAACTAGCAGATTTGAGAAACTAACCAGAATTTGAAATAAGACTATTCTGGCATTTCCAGTCATTCCTGCAGTGAGGACATTTGCGTTTGAGCAGGCAATTAATCCTCTTCATAAAGCTTACCCTGCCAGGATAGACCATTGCCCAGTTTTGAGATTGGTCACATGAGATGAATCCAGATAGCACTGCACATAAAGAACTGAACTAACAAAACGGCACCATACAGGAGATGGATTAGAATAGGTGGCCTGAACCTACACAGGTCAATTACCTGCTGAAAGAAAATAACATTGTCTAGAGAGATAAAATAAAACCAATCACATGACAAATACTCAGTGCTTCTAGAATGCA